GCAAGGGGTGCCTGCCGCACCTCTGCTTGAGGACCCCCCTGTCCCTGGGCCGCGGGTTGCATCCCGACCTCCTTCCTCGGTTAGTCCGGGGATCTCCTAACCTTCATTTGGCGCCTGCCTTCCTGGGACTCGACCGTGCACCTCGGAGGAGGACGACCCCGATCCGGCCAGTCTCCTCGGGCTGCCCCAGCTTCCCCCCGCCTCTTCTCAAGGCTAAATATGAATGAGTGTGAGCTCATGAATTCTTGGCGACTGGAGCACATCAAAGCGCTTCCTTAAATGAGCCCTAGGACAGGAAAAAATATGTCACTGCATATTAAAATCGAAAAACCATTTTCCCTAAAGTAGCAGATCGGGGTAGAAATGAAACAGAACGCTCCTTTTTAAAAATAAAGAGGACGGCGACGAGGAGCTGAAACAAAGGCCTTTCCAAGCGCTTAAGCTTGCGAACGAGATCCTCTCCCCCATCTTTGCACTGACCCTGCAAGGTAGGCCAGCTGGATCCCTCCGGCTCAGGGCAGGGCGTTCGCCAAGGCCTCCAATGGCAGGGGCGGAAGAGGCGCGTCCCGTTTCTCTACTGCGGGTCTCTTCCTCCCCAGAGCAGGAGCTGAGCCCGCTGACCGTTCGCGGCTGCTCTCTTTGCAGCGGGAGAACCTCCGTGTGTGTGTGTGTGAGAGAGAGAGAGAGAGATTTATTGATTGAATTTTATTTTGCACGGCTGCCTGTCTCATCAAGTGTCTCTGGGTGGCGGATGAAATTTTTTAAAAATAAAACCAATTAAAGTAACGCAATCCCTGTCCGCCCTGGCTTTCTGGCTTGGACCCCGGCTGGAGTTGGGGGACAGCGGCTCAGCTGGCATGGCTGCCCTTCCCTTCCCGGGCCTGATCCTGCTTTCGCTTTCTTTGAGAAGATGCTGGGAACAGGCCTGGCCCAGCCCTGGGGCTCGCCTCACCTCGACCAAACTGGGCAGCAGTCCTCGGCCTCCGGATCTGTTCTCCCAAGCCCAAATGCGGGGAGCCCCGACTTGGCTTGCCCCTCTGTCCCGATCCCCACGGGCCTCTGGGGGAGTTTGCAGGTGGGAAAGGAAGGCAAGAGTCGTGGGGCCCCCGGGGCCTCAGGCTGGCTGCTCGGCTTCGGTCCATCTGCGGCGCCACGTGGCTCTCCGTGCATTCGATGCAATCCTTGGGGCAGGGTCCGCTTCTCTCCCGTTCGGCAGGGCTGCGGGAAAAAAGCACCCACTTTAAACTCGCCTTGCCGTTTTCTCGATCAGCCGACTTCAGGGCCCATGATCCCCAGCCAGACGTCCTCATCTATTCGGTGCTTCGGCTGGGCCTTCAGGACCCTTGATCGGCAGGGTGCAGCTCTCCCTCGGCGTCCTTCGTGGCCTGCCCCAAACTTTGATCCTCGTGGGCTTGGAACGAGCGAGCCACTAGCACCAGATCCGACCTTTTGGAGCCGGGGGACATATTTGGAACCCGAGGGCATGCGGTGGGCGCTCTCGTGGAAGGGAGCCATCAACCCAAAGCCCCAGTTTATCCCAAAATTCCCCTATCCTCTTTTGAAGTAATAGATGCCACTCTCTGATCCTTGTAGAGCAGTCTCAACCTTGCCCCTTTAAGGCAGGTGGAGTTCAACTCCCATAATGCCCCAGCCAG